TTTTTATTTATTTTAGAAACATATATTTTAAACCTTACAAGCTAAATGTGTGGAGTTTATATGATACTTGAGAAATATTATATTATATTTTTAAAAAAAAATTAAATTTGATTTTTCCTAAAATTTAGCTAAATCATTTTAAGACATATACTGATCACAAAAATTTAGGTAAACTTGATTTAAGAAATGATTTAATAAAATAGAAAAATACAAAGATTACTTAAGTATATGTTTATTTAATTCTCAATTGCATTAGATTGTATATATTGTGCAAGTTTAAGGATTAGTTTATTTTTGTACTTCTGTTTTAATAGATTAGGTATGATGATCTTAACTAGCTTTTGGAATTGTTTTAGCTTCACATGTAGTCAAAAGCTCGCTTCGGCGGCCTAATCCAAAAATTCTCAAGTGGACATAAATCCTCTTGTTCTTGCCACTGCTTACGCAGATAAAATCTTGCTTCATCAAACGAATACGATACACAACACTTGCAACTAAAACAAAGCTTTGGGAAGTAAACACTATTCCTCATCCATGGGAGATTGAATCTCATGTCAGATGATAAAAGACTCGTAAAGATTGTTAAGCCCTCGAGTGTACTACTATCGATCTTCTTCCTTTTTATAAAGCCTAGTTTATACACTATCGGTTTCTCACCTACGAATCTAAATATTTTAAAGATCTTTCCCTTTCGCACCGCCAAGAAAATTCTCTTCTTCTTACGCCCATACTCGTACCTAAATTATATGAGATATACAGACAATCCGGTAATATTGCTATTTCATACGGTCATACCCCCACACACGAGTAGACAGCTCAAAGTAAAATAAGCTTCATTCACCATCAAGGCAACTGAAGCGACGCACGGCATAAACAACATTGCTGTGCTTGAGAATATCGTTGCCACAAGTAAGATAGAACTGTAAATCCTCCGTAATCCACTCGGTTGCTCTGGGATAACAAGTGCTTGTCATGGTGATACCATACCAAACATTTTTAAACGCTAATAGCACGCTTGTGTTGGAACTATTTTTTAGACATTATGAATAGTGTATTCATATGTCAAAAATGAGTTTTATTTGAATGAGAAATGGAGGTCTAATATGTGTGATTTAAGAAACATTTATAAAGTAACAAATATACATATTAGATATTTGGATTTGAGTTTTGATTTGTTAGTTGGACTTTATGTTCATTAACTTAATCTTATAAACCAAATATATGTTGATCTTTTATATTGACAAAATATAAAAAAGAATTCCATTTTAGAGTATATTATTTGTTTAAATTAGTCAAACAATAATATATTTACTCTTTAATTTCTTGGTCAAAATGTGAAATAAATTCATAAAATAAATGACAAGAATTAAAGTCTCCATTAGTGCACCATGGAGGTTTCATTTCTATGTTGAAAATGAAACTTGTGCTTCTCATTGTTTTTCTATATAAATGGCTTGTTAGCATGATATAAAGACACACACAAACACACACAACAATGAAAGAAAAATTCACATTCCCTCATATGAATAGTATAGAGTTTATATTCTTTTTGAGTCTGAGAGTACACCACAAAACTAGATTCGTTAGGCTTCTGATAGAGTGACGTACATCAGAAGATTTGTGTAGTTGTATCCTGGGAATCTGAGCGCTATTAAACCGTCGCACTACGGGGCGTTTAAAGATTTAAGGAAAGAGATTAACTATCTCGACTCTGTAATTCCTCATTATTTGTTTGTTTCGGTATTGTTATTTTTATTTATGTTCTTATTATTTTTACAAATATCAGTTGTCCCCATTGTAGTAAAATAAGGTTCCTACACTCTTAAATCTTTAAATACGGTTTATGCTTTGCACTAACAATACTGATATTTGTTAAAAGGTATTTTTTTTTAAGAACAGGTCCATCAATATTCTCAAGTAGGTGTTGAAATCGATTTGAATGGATCATCATAATTTTAACTGTGTAATTTTTTTTTTTGGTTGGTATTATTATACTAACAAAAACTTATAATGTTGTGAAGTGTTTTTGTCATGAAACATGAATAAGAAAACTCATTGTGATGGAAAATCAGATCTTGTGTTTCTGATTTAATTCATTGGTGGTAAAGTATGGTTTTTCTTGAACTGATTCAATTTTTTGCAGCAGTTAAATTGATTTGAAACTTTGTTGAAAGCATTTGATTACCTTTGTTTTCTGATTGCATAACTGCTTAATTTGTTTATTGGCTAAATCTGGACTTATTATTTCTGTTTGACAATATGTATTAGCAAGAGTTAATTGTTTATTCTTGTGCTAAATTTAACCGTTTAGTGCATTTAGTTTTTGGTCAAATATTGCTAACGCTTCTATACAAAATGATCTGAGCTTTATATTGGAAAATATTCCAGCTCCTAAAAGTGATTGAAGGTAAACTTTATTTGTTAAAATGTGCTAATGCCTTGTATTGGTTAAATATGATGGTGTGCTTTAATTATCATGAATGCATAACGTGTTTGGTTTATTGTTTCAGTTTTCTTTTGGAGTAACTTAAAATTTTATTATTAAGTATAGGGATGACTATGAAAGAAGAAAAATGATTTAAATTTATAATATGGTGGTACCATGACTATAAACAAATATTTCGATCTTTAAGAGATCAAATGATATGGATGGAAATGGATTCGTGAGTCGACGACCCAAATTAAGTTTGGGAAAAGTCTGCCACATTTGAATCATTTGTCATTAGAAATAAAATGTTGTTGATATTGATCAAAACATTTATTTCATCAATGCTTTAACGCGAGTCGTATAAAGATTGATCATGTTGGATAAAAAAAATGATGATTTTCAAATCATGTGACTGAAACTGACATGTGTATTGTAGTTTCTATAGTCAATATGGTTGAAAATAACAAAAGAAAATGGTGATTTGGATGCCAAAAATACTATCTTGTAATGATATGTATATTTTCCAAAAAAGCAAAAATATGGTTTTTGGAAATCATAAGTTGGATTTGTAAATCAAATTGAGGAAACTATGAAAGTTGTTGGATGAAAAATGTAAAATTTCATGAGTGAAATGCATTTTTTCTAAATTGCCTTTTGTTTCATTTAAATTTAAAAGAGTTGTAGATTAATTTTCTAAACTCTTAAGAAATGTTAAATGCAAATATACATGTTTTTGAGTAATTTCAAAAAATGTGGGGGAAATTTTGCTTACCATATAAAATCATTGGTAAATGGCGACATCAATTTAGTGATAACTATCACAATACGATTTAAAAAAAAGACTAGTGTCAAGCACTGAGTTTGGTGTATAATGGTTAATTGTATCTTGAAAAAGATGACAAAAATCATTAGACAATTGATATCGACTAATCTCAAGAGATTATGTTCATCATGATGACAGCCTAGGATCCTTATTTTAAAGGTGTGTCATGAGATTCAATTGGTATATCATCTAGAGGAATGGGTTTGCATGTGAATTAAGATGAGGTTTGGCGGTAACTCAACCTAACTGACTGGAGATCCCAAGAAATAGGTTCAAGGAGACAACTAAGTCAAACTAAATCTGCCCAAAGCACTGTAAGACTTCGGTCTATACCCAGTTCCTATGATGATTAAACAGTGCTACATGTAAGGATTATATGATAAGCATTTGCTTTTAATGATTTGTGTCCATTGTTTTGAGATATGAATGGAGTAGTACATGATACTCCTCTAAACAAAACTGATGGCAAATCACCTCGTGAGTGTGAAATGGGGCCGTTTCTAGGAGAATGAAGGAAAGGCTATATTCTCTAAGTTCACTCATATTAACCAGGACTGTTCACAGCCAAAATGAACACAATAGAGAATCTAGTTATGTGAGAGAATGAAGCTGTTTTATAGCTATTGTCTAGGTGTACGCCAAATCCCGGGAGGTTCAAGACATCATGGCCACCTCCTGGCCGAGTAAATCCGATAGCTATTAACAATGACTAGTTCAAGGCTGAAAAATTGCTACCAACTCATCATGCAGCGGATTTTTCGTTTGTACTCTCAAAAGTCCTTAGTTAGGTCTTGTCGGGTCGAGTCTTGTATAGGAAGTCAAGTTTATCGAGTCGTCTAGTGTCTAGAGTCATTTCTATTCATGTGGGGGATTGTTGGAACTATTTTTTAGACATTATGAATAGTGTATTCATATGTCAAAAATGAGTTTTATTTGAATGAGAAATGGAGGTCTAATATGTGTGATTTGAGAAAATTTTATAAAGTAACAAATATACATATTAGATATTTGGATTTGAGTTTTGATTTGTTAGTTGGACTTTATGTTCATTAACTTAATCTTATAAACCAAATATATGTTGATCTTTTATATTGATAAAATATAAAAAAGAAATCCATTTTAAAGTATATTATTTGTTTAAATTAGTCAAAAAATAATATATTTACTCTTTAATTTCTTGGTCAAAATGTGAAATAAATTCATAAAATAAATAACAAGAATTAAAGTCTCCATTAGTGCACCATGGAGGTTTCATTTCTATGTTGAAAATGAAATTTGTGCTTCTCATTGTTTTTCTATATAAATGGCTTGTTAGCATGATAGAAAGACACACACAAACACACACAACAATGAAAGAAAAATTCACATTCCCTCATATGAATAGTATAGAGTTTATATTCTTTTTTAGTCTGAGAGTACATCACAAAACTAAATTCGTTAGGCTTCTGATAGAGTGACGCACATCAGAAGATTTGTGCAGTTGTATCCTGGGAATCTGAGCGCTATTAAACCGTCGCACTACGGGGCGTTTAAAGATTTAAGGAAAGAGATTAACTATCTCGACTCTGCAATTCCTCATTATTTGTTTGTTTCGGTATTGTTATTTTTATTTATGTTCTTTTTATTTTTACAAATATAAGTTGTCCCCATTGTAGTAAAATAAGGTTCCTACAGCTTGTACCAGATGTAGGTGCACAGGAGAAAGCAATCGCATAATATGATAACTCACACTTTGGTAAGTTTATGAGGTTACGAGTAAATGGGATGAAGAAGAACATTCTGTTTGAAACAGTTTTGCGCATAACACACCGTGGAATTCACTATCTCTGGTAAATTCAGCGTGTACGTCTTCTGTTGCAATGGATCATAGAGTTCGAACAAGTTTCCACGTTTAGGTAAGCACATAACCGGAGGAGGCTTGTCTACCAACTGAACATATAGACCGGCTTCACACCATGTTCTGCAGACAGCGGAAGCTTCAAATGTTATCTTTTAAGACAAGTTGAGATATTATTACTTCCAAGAGGCATAGTGGAAGGTCTGTGAAACTTGGCTTCTCAGCTTCTTTGCTCCGATTCATGTTATCCAAGAAACTATTTCCTTTGACATCTACGAATGGCTTGTTCAGGCTCGTTCTTCCTTTAAGGTTCAGCATGAGCTTTAGGCCACATTTTACAAATGCCAAATTTGTATAGCATTTATTAGATTGATGTAGCATAAATGGTTAAGCCAGGGTAAGCTTTGCTTCTTTATTTCTGGTTCGAACAAGAATACAGTCATTTTTATACACAATTTTTAGTTGGTAACTTTTATAAAGGGCCACATTATTTTAAGCCTCTTAGAGCACCATTATCCCTAACACCCCATAATGGGGTGCTTATATTTTTATTTTTATTTTCTGATTTAAAAAAAAAATAAACGAACCAATCGCGAACCACTATGTGTCAGTGGGGTCCACGAAAATTTCAAGCACTTCCCAGAATCGACTCTTATACATGATTCATAAGCACTGGTTTTTGGGGTTCAGTGAAACCCACCTCACTATTTTATTATTTTTTGGTAAACACTTCCCCTTAAGCAACAGGGATGAAGATGCTCTTATATGTTTGAGACGGCACTGGGCCTGTTATATAGATGAATAATTTTTTTTGATTCTTAATGAGTTACTACGTGGTTGCCCGCAAATTTGTGGGTATAAATAATCTCAAAATTTAATGTAATATTGTTAACCGTGGCTTCTAGCTCTAGTGGTAAAGGGCTTACAGCTGTGAGTACCGCCACTTGGGTTCGAATCCCGGCCACTGGGGAATTAACATTTCGGCATCGCCAGGGACAGAAGACCGACACGTGGCAACACGTGACTAGTCTGGATCACTTTTGTGAGGCCATGATACCTATGTATATTAAAAAAAAAATTGTTATATTTTTGACATGCTATAATATATTTTAACTTTTTTGAATTGAATGTGAATTTTTTATAGATAGTTTTTAAATAAACAGATTTTAAATATTTTATTTATTTTGATAATTTTTAAAAATATATATCGTATTTTAATATTTCATTACATTTTGATCAATAACTTTATATGAATAATTCGAATTTTAATCCATTAAGAATTTAATTTCATATTGAACATTCACATCGACACCATACATACATATATATTTTAATTGGTTTGTAAATCAAGTTTTTCATCTAAAATTATGTATTCAAAGTAGTGTGTTCGTATTTAATGTATAATAAGAAGTTTCATATTATGATACAAATAAATTTCAGCTGGTAAAAAGTTTAGAAACATTATCAACTAATTTCAATTTGACATATTTATATAATATATGACTTATAGTGAGTAGAAATATTATTGGGTTTCTATTTATTAGTTTCTGTAATTTATGATTTATTGTATCCACTATAAATATAATATTTTTAAAATCGTTTATACAATTATTTTTGTAGTATAATATGTATTTATATTTATATTATAACTTTATATAATGTATCTATGATAATCAATTGTTTCAACCAAAAAAAAATATGTTAAGTCATTTAAAATTAATACGTTTGATTGTTTATTTGGTAATATAGATTAGATTAGGTAATTCTATGATTAGTTTCCTTTTAAAACTTGATTTAAAGAAATAAAAATTCAAATACCAACAATCAATCAAATTAAGAAAATTAATTCTAAACTTCACCTACGAGTGACATCTAGGCAAAAATCAATAAAGTGACTTCTCAATAAATATATAGTAGGATTTGAATGACATATATACCTGAGATTTTAATCACTTGACATAGTGTTGATCTTTCCGCCGTTCCACTTCAGTTGCGGGTATTCTTGGTATTGCTTCTTTCACTTGCGTTACAAACGACCTGCAAATTAAACGAATGTATCACTTCATATAATTAACATCATTTTATATAATTAAACTAATCAACATTTACCTTTTAAACGAAGGGGTCACTGCATTCTCGCAGTTGAGTAGAATATAAGTGTGGAAACTATGCTTATCCTCATCGCTGGACCACCACCATATGTCTTTCAATCTACCATTGACCCGTCCAATTTGACAGATTATATCAGGAACATCACTAACTGCATAAGTTGGCACAACTCCGCCATCATCATGTCTTCTAGAAACTTTCTTCCTGGTACGTATTGTTGGTGGAAAGTAGTATGATGTGAAGTGAAATGTCTCTGCTGTCAAACTCTCAGCAACTATTGAACCCTCCACCTTTGCAAGCTTTTTCGCTTTCCCCTTCAAACGTTTTATGGAACGCTCGTAGGGATATATCCATCCATTGTGAACAGGTCCACAAAGTAATATCTCGCATGGGAGGTGGACAACAAGATGTTTTACAACGTCAAAAGATACTGGAGGAAATATCTTCTCTAAGTTACACATTATGATCAAAATGTTTTCGTGAAGCTCTTCGATCACTTCTTATAGGAACTGGAACGTTTCCATTGATTTTGATATGTAATTCACTTCTTAAGCAAATGTCAAGTAAGTATATCCTTGAATTTTTGCTATATGCATTACATCGAGGTTGTGGTGTAAAAGATGATCCTTTCAACAAGGCAGCTCCCAAAATATACTCTTCTTATGCCAATTGTGACAAACCTCATACCCATCAGGCATATTTCTGTAACATGATAGTTTCCTCCACGCCGAACAGTTTTCTGACCTCAGTAGTACTCAATTTGCACTGTGAGATATGGCAGAGGACTCTCTCTGACAACTATTTTGTACCTAAACAATGTCTTATTTCTTCGGTACGGATGGTAAAGAGGAAGAAATGGACGATGACGACAAACCAACAATTCTTCCTACCTTCTTTAGTTGAAAAGCATATGTCGATCCAAGACAATGAGGACAAGATAAGCTTCTATGTGTAGTCCATCCAGACATCATCCCATAAGCACGAAAGTCACTTATCGTCCACAGCAGAATTGTCAGCATCGTACAATTATTTTTTCATGGAAGAATCATAAATCCTCACCATTCTGACATAAGTCATTCAGCTCTTGTGTCAATGGTTGAAGAAAAACATCTAACAACCGTTTTGGATGCTTTGGACCAGGGTCTAATATGGTCAAGAATATAAATTTTGTTCCATGCACATCTCCGGAGGCAGGTTGTACATAGTAAGAATGACTGGCCACAAAGAATATTGTCTCCCAGACATTCCAAATGGATTAAATCCGTATGTGCATAACCCAAGATAGATATCCTAATATTTCTAGCAAAATCTGGATGTACCTAGTTGAAATGTTTTCACGCTCTTGCATCTAATGGATGAGCAATCTCACCATCCCTCTGAACATGTTCAGCATGCCACCTCATCATTCCAGTAGTCCTCTCAGATTTATATAATCTTTTCAACATGTTCGTAATTGGTAAGTACCAAATCATTGGTACGGTATCCTATTCCTTCCATGTTCTTGCGGTTTCAATCGTGGCTTATTGCATAATCGACACTCTTCTAGCTTTTCATCGTCTCTCTAATAGATCATGCATAGGTCGATGCAAACATCTATCACCGCTGAACGCAATCAAAGACTATATACCAATTTTTGAATCTCATAATAAGATTCAGCTAAGACGTTGTCTTCTGGGAAATAATTGTGGGAACCGAAATTCGCACTGTCGATTTCGGTTGAATTAGGAACGTAGGGTAAACTCTAATTTCCCAGAGGTCCCAGTTATCTGTTGAACTACACGCTAAGCAATCAAGAACAAGAAGTAAAAAGACGATAATCTGAATACAAATTAAAAAGAGAGCAAAAAGAAGTCTTACTCCGATTCTGCGTATAAGTGTTACAACGAGTTAGGAGCCTTGGATACAAGAGCTGACGGCGAGTTCCTAGTTCTAGCAACCTAAGACTGCGGAAACCCTAATTGAGACGCAGCTCGAATAACAAAAACGAAAACATTGCCTAAATGCTCTAAGTGCTAAGTTTTTTCTCCCTTGTGTCTCTCGCCTTGAACTCCTTATATACTACCTCCAAAGTTGGTTTACGCTTTCCACTTCTGCTCTTAAGCCGTTATAGCCCAAAAATGGAGATTTGCCATTTTTCCCGCTCTTCATAATTATCTTTGGAATTTTAATTTTTATCTGCGGAAACTTAACATTTATCTTCTCTTGCGGGCCAAGGATAAAGCGCCATAGGATATTTCTTCCTTTTTAATAAAAAACCCGTAAGTGGGCTTCTAGTCGTGTTCTAGACCTCTTTGGGCCGTATTTCGACTCGAAACGTTTTTACAGTTTCTTTTCGATAAAAAAAAGATATCCACGGTTTTATCGTAAAGTCTGAATGATAACTCCGATCGATAAGGAAAGAGTGGTAGTTTGATTGCGGCCTTGAGGAGATTGCATCAAACGGTAGACGAGAATGTATGGACTCCTGTTTACGTTGATCTTTGGGATAGTCTTGTCGCTACGTAGCGACCGAGCTTGGCTCGAGCTCGGTCGCTACGTAGCGATCGAGCTTGGCTCGTGCTCGGCCGTTACGTACTTACTTGGTCCTTGTTTGGGTTGGGTTGCTATGTAACGACCTGGTTCATCCGTGGGTAAGTTAGGATGTTTTGCCCGTGTTGTGTTTTTGTCCGATGTTTGGATGTTTAACTTTGTCGTGTTTGTTGTTGACCCCAACAGTTAGCCCCCTGCCCGTTAGAATCGTAGATTGCTGAGAAGATTCTAGAGTGCGGTTTGGACAAGCTGGGCAAAATTGGTGAGTTTGGACGAAGTTAAGTATTCAATAAATCTATAGACAAAAAGTAACTTCACATGCCTATAAGTATATGGAGTAAATCCTCATCTTTTCCACTTGCTTATTTCCATAAGAGAAGATTTCTAGTGAGATAGAAATTAAAAAGAAATTTCCTTCTCTTTTTCCAAAGAAATTTGGAAAATGTCTTATAGGGAGAGGTCTTCGAGGAAGACTGCTGCTCGTGGTTCCTAATCTAGAAGTACTTGCGAGGAGGAGATCCCTGTTCTGAAATCCAAGTTCATGCCTCGTTCAGTCGATCAGGATGAGGCCAAAGCGTACTGGACCACCAGGTGTGGCACGATCGTTCCGCCTCCTGAAGCTCCCTTCCCCGCTCTGAGCCACCGTGACGTAGAAGCGGGTGCTCCAAGTAGACGTTTCCATTAGGTCCTTAAGACGATCCGTGAGTTTTGTGGGATTTCGAACATCGTGGAGTTCTGAATTCCTCGCTGAGGAGAGAGCGCTGATAACCCCTCGGAGGGATACTTTACGTGTTATGAGGCATTATTAGTATGCTGTCGTTTATGGTTCCTGATTCCAGAAATCATAATTCGGGTATTGGATTGCTTTGAGGTAACGTTGGGCCAGTTAAACCCCACCCGTCTTCAGCACCTTATTTGTGTCTTAGTGGTGAGCTACGAACACGGTTTTTCTCTCACCGTTGATCATTTCGAGGCCCTCCTTAGGTTGCTATATGTCTCGGAGCCGTATACCTACTGGTTGACCCCTCGGAAGTACATGTCGGTGATCATGGATCCTATTTCGAACTGTGGTCCATGGAGGATACTCTTCTTTTTGGTTCGTATAAGCGCTGATTCGATTGATGAAGGTTGTATCCCTCTGCTTCGGAGCAGGTCAAACCCTAATCCGTACATCAATCCCCTCGCTCTGTTTCCGGCCGATCTGGTGGTGGCGAGGGATCTTCTAAGGAACATACCGTTTTTCTGGTCCTCCTTTACGCCAAAGAGGGTCTGCATGTCATTGGCTTGTTTCCTTTTTGATTTCCAAGTGGCGGAGGATGTTGACTTGGACTCGGATGATCCCACCCCCTGCCATGTGCCTTTGAGAGGGACGAGGGCTGAGTCGTTCAAAGGCAAAGGAATCGATCTCGGCGGTAAAGAGTTTTCAGTGGATGACTCCGTACTTCCTGGATGGGATCCAAATCTCGCTTTTGGCGACGGTAGTGGTTTGAGTGATTTGCCTCTGCTTCACTTTGATCGGTTCTTTGCCGACCTTCCTACAGATCTTGACCCGCCTCCGTGATATACCATGATTTTGACTTGATTTTAGTCATGGTATATTAGTGTTTTTACTACTATTTACTATACTATAGAAGCTTTTAAGCATATTTATGAGAACATGAGTATTTTGGGAGAAAGTGATGTTTTGGGAGCATTTTGGAGAGAATTGGAAGAAGCGCTCGATTCAGGCTCGATCACGAGGACGACACAAAGAGACCCGGATCGATCAACATGCATCCTGCATGATCGATCGATTATCAAGACCTAGAAGCCAATTCGAGAAACAAGTTTACTTGAAGCCCAATCATGACCAAATGACTGTTTTACCCCTGCCGAGGTTTAACCTAATATTATATATTTTTCCAAAGTGTTAGAGGCAAAAGGAGGGGGATTGAAGAAGAGAGTTTTCTGAGAGGATTTTTAGAGAGCTTTTTGTATTCTTTTCACAATCAAAGTTTTAGGGTTTTTAGTTTGAAGAGAAGATCTTCAGAGAGATTTAAGATTGGAACTCCAGTGCTTTCTACCTACCTATCTATTTATAATATACAATTTTATCTATTTACTTGTGTTAGCTTGGCTATGTCTAAGTAGTTACTTGTTAGATTTAGGGTTTAAATAGGTTAGAGGGATTAGCCCCAACTATAGGATTGCTAGTTGTGATACTTATTGATAGGATTGTTTTAATTGCTCATGGTTCTAAATTAGCTAACTAGAAACATTTAGGGCTGGGCAAAAAAAACCGAACCCGAAAATCCGAACCGAATCCGATCCGATAAAAAGGAACCCGAACCGATCCGAACCCGACATAAGTACCGAATGGATCTTGTTTTACGGTATTTCGGGTTATGGGTATTACCCGAACCGAACCCAAACTTAAATGGATATCCGAAAGAACCCAAAACTTTAAAATTCCAAAAAAACTTGTATCATATCCAATCTAAATTTCTAATATGTTTCCAAAATAGATTAATATATTATTGAGTACCTACAATAATTAGTTATGATATAAATAATTAGCTAAAATATTTAGTCTAATATATAGTGTTATTTGGTTAATATTAATGTTTATGATTGACATTACATTTGAAGTTAAGTTANAAACTTTAAAATTCCAAAAAAACTTGTATCATATCCAATCTAAATTTCTAATATGTTTCCAAAATAGATTAATATATTATTGAGTACCTACAATAATTAGTTATGATATAAATAATTAGCTAAAATATTTAGTCTAATATATAGTGTTATTTGGTTAATATTAATGTTTATGATTGACATTACATTTGAAGTTAAGTTACGAATAAATTTGTTTTGAAGTTTATATAATGTTGTTTTTTAAAGTTTAAATAGTATTTCTTATGTTTATAGAATTGTTAGTTGTTAACTTTAATTTTTTATGTTTTATTATGTATTATATTTCGTTCATACAAGGCTTTGGTTTGTCATTAATCATGATATGTTTAGTGTTGTCACATATAGTTCAATGATAAATCTTATATGGTTGATAGATGAGTTTCACAATATTATTTTGAAGGAGAACAATATGGTTTGTAGAAGTTAAATACACAAATTTAATAAAATGATTGAAAATATAGTGAGTTTAATTGAGTATAAATTAGTATTTTTAGAACCGATAACCCGATTAGTATCCGAAACCGAAACTATTTCGGGTTCAATCGGATCTTGGACATGTTACTAAACCCGAACCGAACCCGAACCGAATCCGACCCAAATTTTTATAATATCCGAATGGGGCTAAAATTCATGAACCCGAAAACCCGAAACCCGAATGAACCCGAACCGAAACCCGATTGGGACCCCGATTGCCCAGCCCTAGAAACATTGAATCTTGGATTATTTAGGTTAGATTAGAGATATTTAAATGATTATAAATATTCTGAACACATATTTATCAAGCTAGGATTTGTTAGAAACATAATTTCATAATTTGATTTAGAAATCTTTAGTGAGTAGACTCATGTGTATTGCTTGACTGGAGTCATCGATCGATCTTCCTAGCAGAAATCGGTCAATGATGAGTTAGTGTATCGGTCGATTATACCATAGATAATCACTCGACATTGTCAATCGCGGCCTTCTGGTCATTAGACTAAAAGTTCAATAAAGTTAATGCTCTATAGTATCTTGCAAGCAACTAGATAGCATCCTATATAATTATAATCCTGAAAACCTGAATAAAAATCCTAAGTCTAGCATCTTTTCCATATTTGTTTTAGAAGTCTAAATTTCCATTTTCGATTAAGTAATCGTCGTGGTTAACTGTTTTTACTATTTATACATTCACCTAGAGTTGCATTCGACTAGATTTATTAGATTCATTAGCTCCTTGTGGATTGGATCCCTAAGTACTACAGCTGAACCTCTTATTTGAGAGAGTAATTCACTCCTTAGGGTAATTTGAGTGATATCAAATTTGGCGCCGTTGCCGGGGAACTTAGATAGTCTTTAGATTTAGTTTTTCAATTCTAGGTTTATCTTTTTGTTTTTGTTTTTCTCTATCATCTTCTGATAAAATTTTATTTTTTCTTGATTTCTTTTCAGGTGCATGCATAGCATAACCAGAAGCAGCAATGAAAAACAGGTTTTATTTTTAGAAGATCCGACTAGCTTGGAACGTTCAATCCGCAAAGACCAACGTTCCGCATCGATCGAAGCTACCTTAACTTCGTCGACCAATTCTCATCAAAACTCAACCGATCTCGTTTCATCATCGATCGACACGCACCACTCTTCGTCGACCGATTCTGATCACTTTACATTGACTGACACCGATCTCCGTACATCGATCGATTCTCAGCCGCGATACATGGTTGCACCTTTGATTCTAACCGCGCACGCGAATGGAAACCTGTATGACCAGGAGGGTTATCTACATAATGCAACAGGTCAAAAACTGGATACTCAGGGTAACATTATCCCTGAACCTGAGGAATATACTTGACCTAAGAGCTTGGCAGACTACAACCGTCCAGATCAGTACTACGCCAATAGGTCAGATATTCACTTGTTGTGTAAGCTCTTCAAGTTCTCACTTGCTGAAGAGGCCGCACATTGGCTCGAGCAGTTACCGCCAGGATCCTTTATGAGGCAGGTTTTCTCAACAGAACGTGTAGATTATGAGAGTTCATAATTAGCAGATATGAACTACATTGGAGGAACTTGATTTCAGAGGTCTTGAAATCAATTTGGGAACATAAACTTCAACCAGAATCCACAGTTTCAGAAACCCTACAGCAACTACAGCAACAACAAGTGGTATGGAAATTCTTTCTATCAGAACCCACCACCACAGACTCAGGAGAGAAAGATTGAAGCTATGCTAGATCAGGTTCTTCAAAGACAGCAAAAGCTGACAGTGGAGTTCAATGGGAAGATAGATACCGTCTACAAGGAATTAGACACCAAAATAGGAGCTTTGAGCACTTAGGCCAGGAAGCTTGAGACTTAGGTAATCCAGACTGAAGAAGCTGTCAGGAGGCAAGAAGGTGATGAACCTATGAGACACCACATCATGCCATACTAAATGATGATTTCTGGCAAGAAATTTGTCATATAAAGATGGGAGAGGATGAGCCTAAGGAGGGAGTTTATCGAGATCTCGAAGTTCCATTCTTGAATCGATCGATGGATTTGCATCCATGTTGATCGACTGAGTTCGAGACATATCGATCGACAGGTTACAACTACGATCGATCGATGCTTACAGAATAGTCCGAAACCTGCAATGCCGTCCGGATCATGACCCACGAGGAGTTAGCAGAAAAACACCTGTGGGAGTCGATTTCACCCTACTGTCAAATAAATCGTAAATAAGGAAACTTCGGGAAAACCCTAAGTTTCCAGAGGAACCGGCTATCTGCGAGAACCGCACAACGAAAATAAGAAAACGATAACTTAGAATTTAAATGAGAATAAACGAAAATAGAGAGCAAAGAGGTTCTTATTCCGAATCTGCGTTGAACTGGTA